GAGAGAGAGAGAGAGAGAGAGAAGATGATCGATCATTTGTCAGAAAAAAGTTGAGGGGTCGTCTGGTGGTGCTCGACCGGGTCGGAGGGCAGCCAGGCAGGCAGGGGACCGGCTGTGCGGTTGGAGGGATTGCAGGGCGGGCGAAGGGGGAGGAGGTGTTGGGGAGAGTGGGGAAGAGGATGAAGACTTGGATCACACCGATTCTCAAGCCGATTGGCTTGGTGCTGTTTGTGCTCAACGCGTGGTTGGCGTTGGATGTGCGGTTGGGCAGCGAGCGCCTGATGCGGGAGAACAACCATGTCTTTGTGTTTGAGAACACGTTGGAGAGCTGTCGTGTGCAGCTCAACGAGACGCACCAGGTCATGGCCCATGCCGTGGCCGACATTGCTCGGTTGAAAAGCATCCATCTGGCTTCCAATGATTCGCTGTTACACGACTACAGTCTGAAGCTGCAGCAGTGTCAGGATGATCTCCATGATACCCAAGGCATGTCCACCCGCCAGGTGCCACGCGTTCGCGGGCAGCTTTGGTCGTCTAACATCTGGTCGACCGTGAATGACCTGTGCAGATTTACTCGTGCAGCGGCGCAACGACACGGAGCATCTGAAGCGGGCGCTTGATCCATCCTTTACCACTTTTCAGATGTGGGCCCTTCTCGCCGTCATCACCGGTACGAAGCTTGGCCATGCGCGGGGGCCCTGTGATCCGCATCATCACACACTCATGTCGCTGGACGTTTGGGTCTCCTAGAGAGTCGGATGGAATCCTTCATGCAGCAAACGGCGAATGATACGCGCGTCAACGTCATGACCTTTCTCGATGCCTACGACAACAAGTATTCCGTGGATGAGCTCCAAACCATGGACGATTTTGCCCTCATTCGCCTCGTGCGTATGCCCGCTTGCCTCCCTCGCACACTTGGCACAACGCCTCCCCGTGCCCACAGCTTGGTTTCTTTTTTTTTTTCCGCCCACCTCACACCCACTCGACCTGGTACAGGCGCAGGCGCTGGCAATACGTAACTTGCAAGACATATAAGCCAACTCGGCATCTCCCTCGGTTGCCTGTCTCTGTTACCGTCCTGGCTCAAGGCCGCTCGCTGTGGCGCTGTGCGCCTTCAATTGAGTTCAAACTCCTTTTGTGCACGCACCCGTCCATCATCGACTTCAGCGTGTGTTGCCATCAATTTCGTCGTGCCCCACGACACAAGCATCAAACTTTAGCGCACAGCGCTCACACATCCACGTGGCATCCTAGAGTTCTTGAACCAAAGGCCGGCGCTTGTCTGAAGCGGCCGTCGCTCGGAACGGCGACGGTACACTTTTGTTTGCTTCATCAACCACGCGCAAAGTCCGGGTCAACCCTGCACCGAGACTTTGCACTGGCACTTCCTCATCGGCTAATTCAAAGTGGTCTTCGGAAAGTTCCTTCAAACCCAAGTCCCGGCGTCGCGTGGCAGCCAGGCGCGCGAGGTCAGCCCGCCAAATCTCCAGCGACATGGCCAGACCGTCTCCCCCCGTCGGCTGCAGCCGCGCGGACGTCGGCGCCTCCTTCTCCGCAAGCTGGGGCTTGTCCAAGCAGGCCTGCCACCAGCAGGCGTAAAAGTAGAGCTTGTGTTGTGCCTGTCGAGCATGCTTGCGCTGCACCCCAGCCAGCGCTTCGCCGTGGGCTTGCCAGGTGGTCTTGCTCAGTGCCAGGGCAAGTTGCAAGAGGTTTAGGCAATGGACGAGACAGGCCTGCACCCGGTGCCCCGATTGTAGCACGGCTCGTGCATCGTCTAGGGCTAGAACCACCTGCTCTGGTGCACTTTGTAGACTCGGGCGCGTGGTGCACGCCAGCACAAAGTGTGCCACGGCGGCAGACAGTTCCCCACACTGTTCGCGGGCAGTCAGCACATCGTTGCCCTGAAGAAGGGCGCCCACGAGTGGCAGCAAGCTGTCGTGGGTCTCCCCGTTATAGAGGCGCAAGGCGTAACAGTAGCGGAGCAATTGGAGGATCATATCATAGGGGACAGAGGCTCCCACGGTCGGGTTGGGGCCGGCGCGCGGGCCCAAGAGCTCGGCCAACGTCACCAACGGCCGGTCCAGACTGGCCAAGAGGCTCGAATAGTGTTGCAGCGCGTCGGCTGGATCGCTGCTCGGTGCTTCAGCGGGGGAAGCTTCCACATTGTCTTGGTTCGAGTCGAGTACTTCGATGAGACGTGGTTCGGGGTCAGCCCGATGCCACCAAGGCGTCCAAAGCGCCACGTCGGCACCCAGTTGCTGGTCCCGCATCAGTTGCGCAAAGGCACTTTGCTGGTCAGGGGAGAGGTGCGCCAAGAGGTCGGCCACGTCTGCGTTGGGCTGTGCGTCAAGCAAGGAAAGCACCTGTGTCAGGCGGGCAGCCTCCTCATCGACGCCGGCGTCCACCGCAGCATCCTCGTCCCCACCGCCATCGTCAAGAGAGTCGCCCGTCACCGGCTCAAAGGCGTCAAGTACGTCAGGTAGACCTCCTGGCCCGAGCAGGGCGTTTTCCGGGTCTGTGTCACGCAGGCGCTGGAGAATGTCGAGCATGCGTCGGCGCTCAGCCTGATCCACTCGCTGTTCAGTGAGCGCCCGGCGCACCTCCTGTTCATAGAACCCTTCCGCGCAATGTTCGTGCGCAGGGCTTCGGTAGCACTCCAACCCGCAGTACCGAGCGCTGCATCGCGGACACGTGTACTGCGCCGGTCGAGTGAGACAAAGCCCACAGAAGCGCGTCCGCGCCTCGAGCCCAAACGAAGGCGACGGCGACGGCGACGGCGACGGTGATGAGGTCTCTACCGCCTCTGCCGTTCCCGACACCGCTTCCACAGCCATTTGGACCCTGTTCTCCCTTCAAACCTCGACACTCAATGCGCCCCAGCACCGCGACACCGCAACACCCCGTTTGCCAAAAATGCACACACGCGTCACAAGCAGTCTTTCAAGACACGAACGCAGTGACCGGTTTTAAATGGTTTTGTTGTCAAGCAAGCGAAGACAGTGAGATGGCTCTCAAGGGAGCATGATGACATTTGGTTCAGAAAAGTTGAAAATTTAAATGACTCCGCCGTCTCGTCGTGATGGCACACAGTGGCAACGGCATCGGCAGTGGCAGTGGCCGTGGCCGTGGTCAAGTTGGCTCTGTGGGCTTGTGTGTTCTTGGGGGCGGGCAGGCGGCTGGACCTTGCTTCTCTCGCCTCAATAGCTGGTCATGTGCCCGGCGATGATCGGCGGTGGTGTTGGTCGCCATGACCGCTGGGTGGCCAACAACGACCAGTCACAGCGGACACACATTTACTTCTTGGCTCACCATGCTCATCATCACGCAAACACAGGCGCCCGTGCTTCCCTGCAGTGAAGAAGTCGCTGCTCGTACTTCCCTGCAGTGAAGACGCTCCTCGTACTTTCGTGGACATGGGGCGCCTTGATTGGCTCACGTCGTGACCAACATTGCCCTTGGAAGGTGCATTCGCGTTGACGCTAATCGCGCAGCTTGCCTCCCCCGAGTCATCATCACCCATCCACTTGCAACGCCGCCGGTCCTGCGCATGTTCGAGCCAACACCGTTTCCTTGTGTCACGCACTGGCATTGCAGCACCCGTGACACGGTTGATCGCTTCCACGCCCCCGGATACCCAGAGTCACCGCAGAGACCCCGGTGCCGTCCTCTCGCCTGGGCAAGCATCGTGTCTCTGACCAATTCTCCCACTCAGCCACCGCCAATAGTGCCCCACGTTAGCCTGACATTGACACAAAAGCATCATTGGCGCTTTTGCTCATGCGCCTCCACACTCAACCTCCAACACCCAAAAGCAGCGCATGCGTTGACCATGCCTTCTCCTCTCTCTCACCGCCCTGGCCGGTTGGTCGTCGCATCTCTTGCTCATGTCCACGTTGGCTCAAGTCTTGCGCGCCCGGTCGATGGCACCAGCCGCTCTCTTCTTGCCGTACAAGGCTCGGACGTGGCATTTTATCAACCCCTCGACCACCGGGACCATCTTGAGGTTGTGCCCAAGTCCAGCTTTACTCTGCCCCTTCCTCAACCGTCTTGTCGGTGGGAAGCCTCGAGCGAGAAGTCTTTCCCGCAGGACTTAGCGCACCAGCTTCATGGCGTTTAAGCTGGTTCTCCTGGCCTTGATGGCCTGCATGGTTGTGTCGGCTCATGCGGTACGATCTTCAACCCAGGGACTTTTGCCTCGCCCCCCACTTCCAGCGACAGAAGTGATGTGCACCGTGCTTACCTCGATATCTTGCCGCTGGGATGAAATAGGACTGCGACGACATTCCAAGCGATACACGCGAGGATTGTGTACGTTTACCTCGTTGACTCGCCGCCCCTTGGTTCGGGGCTCTGCCCGGCTCATATCGTGTGTGTTGCGTCACAGGTGAACCAGTATTCCGTCTTCAAGACCCTCAAGGTCCGCAGCCGCTTCAGCATTTTGACCACCTTGCTGGAGCAAGCCGACCTCAAGGAACTCCTCAAGAACCGCGACGCAAGCCTGGACTCGATCACGGTTTTTGCACCGAATGATGCCGCTTTCCTGGCTTTGGGTACAGACTTGAACGAGCTGCTCCGCCCAGAGAACGCCGAGGAGCTCGAAGCCGTGCTCCTTCGCCATGTCGTCAACATGAACCTGACCGGCGATGTGCTCATGAGCGGTGACTTGCAGCTCATGAGCTTGTCCAACGCGACTCTTCGCGTCTCGAGCAGTTCGGGTGTTCTTCTTGTCAACGACGCTGAAGTCATCAACGCCGATATTCTGGCGGACAATGGCGTGGTGCACGAAATTAACACAGTCATCATGCTGGGCCCCACTACAACCATGGCTCCCATGACCTCGACCACCGAAGATGATGGCGAGGAAGATACGGAAGCGCCGACCAGCACCACCGAAAGGCCAACCACCACCATGGAAGTCACCACCACGGATATGATGACCACCACCACGGAAATGATGATGGAAGACTTTTCCAATCTGACCATCAAGTACTTTTTGGCCGAGCACGATCGCTTCACCTTCATGACCCTGGCCCTGCAAGTCACGGGCATGCTCGACATGCTGGACGGCGGCAACCACACCGTTTTTGCTGCCATTGATCCTGCCTGGTATGAGCTGCCAACTGACATTTTCATCGAGTTGTTTGATCCCAGCAACTTTGATATCTTGGAAGAGGTGCGTTGATGCCCATGACAACACCGTGCTCGCCTCTGCCCGAGCATCGCTGACGGAACAGCCTCGAGCTCCTGTTGGTATCCTCATTTTGTTCGTCTTCTCTGGTGAATAGGTGCTGGCAACTTACATTGTATCGGACATGGTGCTCGACTCGGATGAGTTGCGTGAGATGGACATGGTGCAAGCCAATAACGGCTTTGAGCTTGAGATTGAAGAGATGGAGAATGGCAACCTCACTGTTGGAGGCGCGCATATTATTCACGCCGATATCATGCTAGAGAATGGCATTGTTCACGTGATTGATAGCCTCCTCCCATCGCCCTTGAACTTGCCAGTGGCTCTGTTGAACTTTTCCACCTCGACTTCGACTTCGACTTCGACCTCTACCTCTACCTCCACCTCCACCTCTACCTCTACCTCCACCTCCACCTCTACCTCCACCTCCACCTCTACCTCCACCTCTACCTCCACCTCTACCTCCACCTCTACCTCCACCTCTACCTCTACCTCCACCTCTACCTCCACCTCTACCTCTACCTCTACTTCCACCTCTACCTCTACCTCTACTTCCACCTCAACCTCTACTTCCACCTCTACCTCCACCTCTACCTCTACCTCTACTTCCACCTCTACCTCTACCTCTACTTCCACCTCAACCTCTACTTCCACCTCTACTTCCACCTCAACCTCTACTTCCACCTCAACCTCTACTTCCACCTCTACTTCCACCTCGGCTTCAGACACAACAGAAGAGGACATCATCTCAATCTGGGACATCATCTCCAGTCGTGGGGCCTACGACATTCTCAGCCGTGCTGTTTTGCAAGCCGAGCTTGATGACGACCTGGACGCCATTGACGGTGCTACTCTCTTTGCCCCGCGGGATCAGGCCTTCCGTGACCTTCCCGATGGCCTCCTCGACGCCCTTATGCGCGACGCTAACAAAGACTTGCTGCGGGACATTCTGCTGTACCATTTGCTGCCCCAGGAAGTGGATGGCGATGAACTCAAGTCGGAGGCTTATCAGCGATTCATGACGGTACAAGGCTCAAGGGTCACTGTCCGCAGCAATGGCGACCAGGTGATTGTTGACTACGCCAACGTGCTTAAATTTGACATTGAGGCAGACAACGGACTTATCCACAAGATTGACACCATCCTTGTGCCCGCCAATGTCGACCTCTCCCCCTTCCTTCCCGCCACCACACGCGGCCCAGGCACGCGTCCTGCCACCACCACCACTCGCCGCCCTGCCACCACTACCACCACGCAGGCCGCACCGCCCGCCGAAACAACCACCACCACCACCACCCGCCGTCCCACCACCACCACCACCACGCAGGCCGCACCGCCCGCCGAGACGACGACCACCACCACCACCCGCCGTCCCACGACGACCACCACGCAGGCCGCACCGCCCGCCGAAACGACCACCACCACCACCCGCCGTCCCGTGACCACCACCACAAGCACCAATGACGATGATGCGGACGATGATGACAATGACGACCAAGAGATCAGCGACATTTTGGCCGACCGTGACGTCTTCTCGTATCTGACCGTCGCCATGAAGCAGGCTGGTCTGTACACTGACTTGGATCATCTGGGTGCTGTGACCTTTTTTGCCCCCAACGACAAAGCCTTCCGCAAGCTGGGTGATGCCACCATTAGCAAGCTCCTCATGAACCGCAGGGCGTTGGTGGAGGTTCTCCTCAATCACGTTGTTCCCAACCAAGCCGTGGGCCCGGATGACCTCCCCGCCTCTGGCATGCTTCGTGCTTGGTCGGGCGAGACACACCTCGTGAACAACGACAACAAGGGCGTTTTGATCAATGGGGTGCGCATCAAGAACGACATTGAGGTCTCAAATGGTTACATCTACAAGATCGATGAACTCCTCCTGCCAAGCGGCTTCAAGCCCGAGGACCTTTAAAGTGTAAACCAGACTTTCACTCTTGATCTGCACGGGCTACGCCCGAACCCGACTGTTTCCTAAACCGCCATCTACTGTGTGGATGAGCAACTGTCTTGTCCTTGCTTGTTTGTGAACCATTGTGGCTTTGTGCGGCCTGCTGCAGCTGTGTGTCAGCCCCATTCTTAACCTATGCGCGTGCGCGGCCCCAATCTTCTGTTAATGTGCTCAAAACCTCTGTTCAAGCTCGAATTGAATTTCGAACGTCTCCAATAGCGCTGGTTATACATGACACATCAACTGGGCCATCGCTCGTCCATTCCGC